AGGTCACCAGCGCCGAGGGAGCCCAGCGCTGGATTAAGGAAAGTGGCTGGTGGGGTTTTAACCCCTTCAGCCCAGCGGGAGGGGGCCACGAGGGAGAGGGGACCTAAAAACCCTATTGTGCCAGGAAAACAGGTTTGTTTTCCTGGCACTATAGTGCTCCTTTAAGCTGTAATTATAATACCAATATATATTCACCCCCTCCCCCCCATGACTCCTCTCGTGCAACTGTCAAAAATAGTGTGAATACTTTTCTAGCAACCTATTTCATTACCCCTACTTATACCCTTTTTGTGTCATTTTACCCCACTCCCTCTAGCATGTAAGCTCATTGAGCAGAGCCCTCAACCCCTCTGTTCCTGTGTTAGTCCACCCATTGTACAGCGCTACGCAATTCACTGGCACTATATAAATAATAAAATAATAATAAAAATTATAATAATATGAGGTAGAGTTGGCCAGCTACAAATGGCATAGCAAATTCTCAGTTATAGTCAAATTCACTGTATCTGCTCAGTGTTACTGATTAAAAAAAGTGTGGACTGCACCCAATCAGAACCTTGAATTTGCTGATCTGAGTTGATTAGCTTCCAGTGTTCTGCTTTGCGTGGAATTGAAAGGAAGTGTTACACTTGTAAAAAAAAAAAAAAAAAAAAAGATGAAAAGTGCCCATTTATGTTGAAGAAAAAATAACATCTATAGTATATTAGATATAAAAAAATAAATAAAAATAAATTCATAAAATATTTGACAATTGACAAGTTACCAACACAAGAACCAGATCCTATTTAAAGAGCTATATTAAAGTATAAAGAAAATGTCTAGTAAATAAGACAATAAAAAATAGTTTTGGAGCTTAATATTAATTTGCAACAGTAACATAACACCCTTTGCAAATAATAAGCAAAGATGCTATTAATAAACAAATCTTTGCCAGAATATTTTACAGTGCCAACTGCTAGCGCTTTAAATACATTATACAGTATCCCATAAACCATGCAAATAGAAAATAAAAAATGACATTCTCCCAATATTTTATATATTTAGTGCACACCATGTATATATTTATTTATTGATATAAACATAGAACAGTCACAAACTATTAATAATAAATTAGGAGTGCAACAAAATATTTAAAACGTTTTTATTACAGAGGCTGTAACTTGTTTGCCGTTTAAAAGAACATTGTAATGAGTATTTTTCATCTCCCTGTGTACTGAAGTTTGTAAAATGACTGCTACCTTTCACTAATACCTACACACATCTGATCAAACCACAAGCCCTCTGGAAAGTGTTTTGGAAGAATAACCTTGTTTGTCGGAAACAGCAGTGTCAGCGTTCTCTTCTCTCCCCCCCCTCCTCCACGCCTCCCCGGGTTTTATTATTTCAGATAATTAGGATCATCTCTATGGAGCGCACTAATTTATACAAGCTGGAGAAAGAAACATATACGTCTTCGAAGAAACAAAGCACCATACGTGAACATGTTTGTTGTCACAAAAGACATCCCTGTGACTCAGGTGGGTTTTTTTTCTCACACAGCAGATTTATTATGAAAAATGGTGACGGGTTATAGAATAAGCCAGAAAATGTAAATGTTACCTTCATGTCACTTTAATACAATGCTATAATAATACAATTCTTCATTTAACATTTTGTTTACTAGATATGTCCAGATTAATACTCCTAGTCCGACAAATAAATTACAGTACTAAAAGGACCACTATAGGCACCCAGACCACTTCAGCTTAATGAAGTGGTCTGGGTGCCAGGTCCATCTAGGATTAACCCTTTTTTCTATAAACATAGCAGTTTCAGAGAAACTGCAATGTTTATTTTAGGATTAATCCAGCCTCTAGTGGCTGTCTCATTGACAGCCGCTAGAGGCACTTGTGTGCTTCTCACTGTCATTTTCACAGTGAGAAGACGCCAGCGTCCATAGGAAAGCATTGTTAATGTTTTCCCATAAGACTGGCTGAATGCGCGCATGGCAAGAGGAGGCGGAAAGGAGGAGGAGAGCTCCCCGCCCGGCGCTGGAGAAAGAGGTAAGTTTAACCCTTCCTCCCCCTAGAGCCCGGCGGGAGGGGGACCCTGAGGGTGGGGGCACCCTCAGGACACTATAGTGGTCCTTTAACTTACTTAAAATGATTAAACATTTTTTTTTTTAAATGTGTTTAATACGATAATGTTGAGACCCACTTTGTACACTGGTATTTTTGCTAAAAATATACAAACAAAATAATGTCGGCAGAGAAACATATAAAGTGGATTTCCATGGAAATATATTCAAATATAAAATTATATGAATTTACACAATTTTATTTTATGGGTTTTTTTTTATTCTTTATTTAAGCATGGCTAAATATACATTCAAAATAATTGTACGGAGTGTATAATAGTAATATGGTCTAACATATAAATTGCATAGTGTATAAACACAGGTCTCTGGACAAATTTTACAATTTATCCATAAAAGCGGTTGAGTAGCCCACATATGAATAAACAGAACAATACATAATAAAGTGCAAGACACAAAATAAAAACCACTTAGATAGAATAGAGGAGAAGGGGGGTCCACAGGGCCAGCTCAGGGACTTAGTGGCCCATACCATCCTATAACCTTAGATACCTATAGAGGCGGACCAGGGATCTCAAATTTTAAAGAATGAAGGGATAGTAATGTGAACTATGGAATTCACTTAATCCATTAATTTGTTGTTTTTAGTTTTCGCTATAACTCAATACATAGAGAAAGGAGTGTACCATAACCAACCGGCCTCTAACACCCCACAGGCCTGCCTAGGCACCTCTTTTTGTAAAGTCTCTGATGTTCAGAGGTAAACCTCTTGATAGGATTTGGCAATAGACAGGACCAGGGGTCTAGATCTATAGGTCAGTGAAACACCCCAACGAATAAGCTTCTTACTTCTCTGCAGTATTGAACTATTATCGAGCATGTCCACCACATTTAGATATATGATCCACATTGGCCTACAGTCATCTGTGGGGATACACTATATATATTTTTTATTTTTTTTTCATTTCTTCTTTTATAGAAATGTTTGAGAGATTAAAGTTCTTAAGATTATTTGGTCTGGAGTCTGGCAGATTGGGCAGGAGGCTCAGAAATGGCGGTCCACTGGATCAAAGCAACACCAAATACAGGGTTTCTCACACATGGTGAGCATAAAATAAAAGCTAAATTAGTTAATGCTGCTGTTGTTTAATTAGGAAACACCATTTTTGACACATACAGCAGATGTTACAAACACAGGAACCCTGCTTATATATTTTTGTTAGAACTTTGATGGGGATTGTAGGAATGTAGCTTCCTAAACATGCCAGTGCAATGCAGCAAAAAGTCTTTGTAGGGGTATTCAAGTGCAGCGACTCCATCATATAATATATGGATGATCGTTTGTTAGGGTCTGCTAACCAGGTTTCAGGTCATGGTTACTTACTTTAAGAAAACACAGATTGCACTGGATGCACATTTTTTATTTATCAATTGCAAAAATAGGACAGCTTTAAGTCAGGTTTATTATTTTACCATTAAGGTTAGAATACATCAATGTTCTAAAAGTGTCTCAAGTGTACTGTTATGTGAATTTCAGAGCTACATAAATTCTAGATAGTTTCAGAAATAGCATAAAAATATTCAATACAGCCGTGTTCTGTGTGCTGCTACCATTTCTACCTTGTGAGATCAAAGTATTCTTGTATATGTAACAGGTGAAGGATGTAGAATGCACGGCTCTAGAGAGTAACACCTCGCTTAGCAAAAAGCTCAGGGGAACTCAGTTAGTGTTTGTGCAAACTATTTGGGGAATATTATATGCTTGCATTCATTTTCATCTCGCTAAGAGAAAATTAACCCTCTCTGTGATATCTGTAGGAATTCAATCTTAATTTTAGAGATATCAATTAGTTTTATGAATATGAAAAACAATATAATAGAGCGGGGCTGTACACACAGATATCGAGCATTGGCAATTGTTACCAGGTCACAGTGGTTATTATTCTACAAAATTCTATGCTACTGACTGTATATTAAGTATAAACATGGACAAATCTATCTATCCATCCACCCATCCGCTCTTCTGCCCTGCCTGTTTGTCTATCTATCTGTCTATTGAGTCACCTGGTACTGCGATGATGTTCTAGATATGATTTTATCCTCTTGCCTACCAGCATATGGGACAGAATAGCTCACCCCTGAGATCCGTGGCTTCACTAATGACTCAGGATGGAGTAAATGTAGTTGGGGGCCCATTGGAATTCATGATCTTTGAATACTTAGAGATAGACACCCTAGAGGCCTCCTTGATCATCTTAGTAGAAGATTATTCAACTCTTCTACATTACTCTAAAACCTCATCCTTTCTTTATCAAATGCCAGCTAACATCTGGTCACCCAAGCTCCCATAAGCTAGTATAGAAACATAGAATGTGACGGCAGATAAGAACCATTCGGCCCATCTAGTCTGCCCAATTTTCTAAATGCTTTCATTAGTCCCTAGTCTTATCTTATAGTTAGGATACCCTTATGCCTATCCCACGCATGCTTAAACTCCTTTACTGTGTTAACCTCTACCACTTCAGCTGGAAGGCTATTCCATGCATCCACTACCCTCTCAGTAAAGTAATACTTCCTGATATTATTTTTAAACCTTTGCCCTCTAATTTAAGACTATGTCCTCTTGTTGTGGTAGTTTTTCTTCTTTTAAATATAGTCTCCTCCTTTACTGTGTTGATTCCCTTTATGTATTTAAATGTTTCTATCATACCCCCCCTGTCTTGTCTTTCCTCCAAGCTATACATGTTAAGATCCTTTAACCTTTCCTGGTAAGTTTTATCCCGCAATCCATGAACCAGTTTAGTAGACCTTCTCTGAACCCTCTCTAAGGTATCAATATCCTTCTGGAGATACAGTCTCCAGTACTGTGTACAATACTCCAAGTGAGGTCTCACCAGTGTTCTGTACAATGCCATTAGCACTTCCCTCTTGACTGCTGTCTAGATGTCTGTACCACCCACCCGATGCCCCCCTTTCCCCAATGACACACAGAGACCGTAATTAAGTTGGGTAAGGGCATCGGCCACAGCTTTATTTATTCTTTCCATGCCAGCAACATAATCATACTGTCAGCTGTTGGGGTGATTGCCCAACAGACAGGTCTATCCCCACAAACCATGAGTCCTGAGCAGCCTGCCTCCGCCATCAGCTCCCAACAGGCTGCGACTCCCCAAGCCTCCTCGGCAACTTCACCACTTCTGCCTGCGCTGGCCAGGACTCCCGCGTGCTGTGACAAAAACAAGAAAAAAAACAACCAACAACAGGCACCAGAAAACCAACCCACATTCCTGTATAACCAAATGTCCTAGGGGCGGGAGGGTGGGAAAGTCAGGATCCCTGCACTTCCAAAAGCTGACTGGTAAGTCCCCTCCCCTAACTGTGCTTATAACTGTCTTCCATCTTAGCAACTATGTATCCATCTATACCCCTCCCTTCCACTACTCCTTCAAGACTCCTTAACCTAGCCGCAGTCATGTCCCTCCTTCCTTGTCAGTCCAGGGAGGTGTCTTGACTGCTGTCTAGATGTCTGTACCACCCACCCGATACCCCCCTTTCCCCGATGACACACAGAGACCGTAATTAAGTTGGGTAAGGGCATCGGCCACATTTTTATTTATTCTTTCCATGCCAGCAACATAATCATACTGTCAGCTGTTGGGGTGATTGCCCAACAGACAGGTCTATCCCCACAAACCATGAGTCCTGAGCAGCCTGCCTCCGCCATCAGCTCCCAACAGGCTGCGACTCCCCAAGCCTCCTCGGCAACTTCACCACTTCTGCCTGCGCTGGCCAGGACTCCCGCCACCGCGATGACGACTTCCCTTCACGCCTCCTGCCGTCATCGCGCCCCCCGCCGACTGCGCAGCCTCAATCCCACACTGCAAACCCGTGTTCAGGATGTCTAACCCTATTTCATTTAAGTGGACCCCATCCTTTCTCATCAAGTTCTGGTTCTCTCCTTCCAGCTCCACGTGACGGATGACCACCCCTCCTAGCCGCCGTACAAATTTCCCCACTGCGATGTTCAGCTTGCGCCTGCTCTTCTCCAAACCGCGAGAGTGCGGAAGCGCGCGCCAGCACGGCCTGGAAACCACCTCCGACCAAACCAAGGTCATGTCTGGAAAGAGCGCCATGCACATCGCCAAGTCGTGCCGAATCGCGTGGAGAAGGTCCACAGTCCTGGATACCCCTAAGTCGTTACCGCCCGCGTGGACCACCGCCACCACCGGCCCTGACACAAACTTACGCAGGGCCACGAACTCTGGATAAATTTGCTGCCACTGGAGGCCCCTAATGCCCTTCCACCTGACTTTGGCCACGTCCAACGAAAACCCCAAATTCCATCCATAGGCCCGGCCTTCAGCTCGCCTAGCTGCCCAGTACACATAGGAATGCCCTATAATCCACACGTACCGGGGCCGACCACCTACAACGAGAAGAGGGTTACAGCATATGAGGTCGGACATAAGACTTAAAACGCCCCGACCCCCATCTTCCAATCCGTTGAATTCCCGCAGCCGAGTACCCCAATACACTCGCCTGGGTAGCCGCCCCGATCCGAAAGGAATGGGCCGAAAACCCGTGACCATCCATGCCACTTGCAACCAATGCTCTCTTCAGCATCGCCGAGAACTGATACCGAGTTAGAGGAGACCCGTCCACGTGAGCTAACAAAGGGCCTCCCCGCTCCGGGCGCACCTCCAGAAAAGCGTGGAAGGCTCCAACCGGACAAACTTCGTCCCTCGTGGCCCCCAAACGAACCCAGGCCCCCTGGGCCGCCTGGTCCGCCTTAGATCGCCGCACAAAAATGTCGACGGTGGAAGTAGACCACCGCACATCCGACAATGCCAACGGCGAGGCCTTTCCCTTGCTCGGGGCTACCAACTCGCCGATGCGAAAGGCACCAAAAAAGCAGACCGAGAAGGCCACGCAAAACAACTTCGATACGTACTCCGAACCACAGACCGTCGGTAGTACTAAAATAATCCGCCGCAACATTTCAGCCGAAATTGGGCGACGACCATCCGGGCGACGCCGCAGCTGCCAACCCTTGACCACCCTCTGAATCCCATATTCCTTTGTAACATCCTGCCAGCCCATAAAGCGAAACAGGAACGACAGGGCAGCCAACGCCTTCTCCGCTGCAGCGCAGGACCTACCTCTCCTGACCAAGTCATCCAGCAACCTCTCCGCACGACCCGATTCCGTGGATACATCCCCGTCCCATGCTGATGACAGCCACTGCCTCCACACTGCCCGGTATGCCTTCCAGGAAGACTCTGCCAAGGAATCCGATACCAAGCCCATCAGACCTCGAAATCGAGCTTCCATAAGGAGTCTGGACACCGCAGACCGGTCCGCTGCGCCTCTGGCGCTGCCTCGCGAAACCGCTCCCACTGCAAGCGAGACAATGCATCAGCCACCACGTTCTGAACACCCGGGACATGCTGCGCCCGCACCCAAACATTAAACTTAAGACTAAGGAGCACGAGGTGACGGAGAAGAGCCAAAACTGGTGGAGACGAGGAGGACGAACGGGCAATCACATGAACCACACTCATGTTGTCTGTGTGAAAGACCACCGTGTGATTTCTCAGATCCTCGCCCCACAGCTCCAGCGCGACCACTATCGGAAACAGTTCCAAAAAGGTCACTGCACTTCCAAAAGCTGACTGGTAAGTCCCCTCCCCTAACTGTGCTTATAACTGTCTTCCATCTTAGCAACTATGTATCCATCTATACCCCTTCCTTCCACTACTCCTTCAAGACTCCTTAACCTAGCCCCAGTCATGTCCCCCCTTCCTTGTCAGTCCAGGGAGGTGTCTTTCTACTGCTAATATCTCTCCTTATACAACCAAGAATTCTGCTAGCATTTCCTGCTGCTCTATTACAATCTCAATCAACCCGTACCCTTTCATAGAGCTCAGCTATCTTATCCCAGCGTTGCGCCATCCATTAATTACAAGACATTTCCTCTCATTTCATTTTAATACTGGTTGTAAAGTTTTTTTTTTCTCTTAAGCTTCCTCTGCAATGTGTATTAATATTAATTAATTATATATTATTACTATCAGTTTTGTCCAAGTAGTGCATATTAAATAGTATATGTTTTTGCTTTCAGTTTGTCACACAGAAAGAACAATTCATTTGGAAACAGTTGTGTACACACTGCATTATCAGTACAGTCCTTAAGGCATAGGTCCCTCCAGTGGCAGGACAGGTAAGTGCAAGGTCCCTAGACCAAGAAATTGATTTTAACACCTTCCGAATTCTCACATGAAGAATGTAGGACCTGAAAATCCACAAGAAATAAGGGACAAACGAGATAATTGAGATTCTGAATGTTAGTAGATGGAATTATAGATACAATAAAACTGTACACATATTTAAAGAAAACTATTCAAAAAAACATACTATATGTATATTCACTAAGGACACATTTGTGGAAAAGGTGGCCACACAAAGTTTTTTTTTTTTTAATCTATCTTCTATTAGGCTGGTATGATCTAAACTTTGCAATACCTTGCCCATTCAGCTCAATTCTAAGTTTAGTGAATACACCTCAAAGTGCAATGTTATGTGTGAGATTATAGTAAAATTTGTAAACATATTTGTAATTGCTCATATGTTCTAAATTTATAAATTTACAGTTAAACGTGTGGTAAAGTTGTGGCTTCTATATTTATAAGAAACAGGAAGTGATTGCTTTAAAAAAAATATATAATTTGCATGACAAGTTCAAAACAATATCACTGCTTATTTCTCGTAAACAAGTGACTACAGGTTAGTGGTATGTACTTGGGTCTATTATTTTACTGTATTGTTAAGAAGGTAAAGACTGAATTTAATTAAAGGGACACTATTAACACCATAAGCACTAAACTGTTCACAATACCAGGGGGTCCTCTTTGCCTGGATGCTGCTTCACAGTGTAAGGAGAGAGCAGGGGATGTGATGCCACTTCCCATCCTCAACCCTCCACACAAAGACAGGAGGATGATAAAGATGTTGTCTGTAGCAGCGAGCATCGGGCCACAGGCTGGCAAGAGTTGCCAGTACCTCAAGCCGGCGCATGTTGCCACCATTACTGGAGCTCCCAAAGCCGTCCTTGCCCTCATAACACTGACATCTACTGACAATGCACACACACTGTGACAATGATACATGGTGGCACATGCACACCCCATTGTACAATGGTATTGCAAACAGAGTAACATTCACATGAATTCACAACGGGTCTACATGCAGAAACTCTCACATGCACTATTGCTCAAACAATATTTTTCATTTATTCAAAAAGTTCTTTTATGACATTAACAGTCACACTTAGGTAATCTTAAAAGTGTGCCTGTGAGATATTGACTTTTTTAATGTATTCTACTGACTGTTGTAAGTCTTTTACAAGTAATACTAACAAATGATGACAATCGGTGGGGATGGGGGGGGGAGGTGGGAGGGATGTGCACTGGAGTGGTACTTCAAAGTTCAGCAATGAGGACCTGAAGGCTGGTCCTGCAAAACATCTTTTATTAGATGGCAACACTGGTAAATGTGATAACAGTTTACTAAAACTGTTCAAAATGCAAACAAAGAGTTATGAAAGTTAATAGGAAATTGTAAAGTGTGCTTGCTAACTTGGCCAACTTTAAAAGTATCTGTTATAAGCTCTAAAGACTTCTCCCACAAAGGAAATAAACTTGTTTTATGTCTTTCTCAAGCCAACAAAATCTGCATCTATCTCATAAATTATAATTATTACAGCGGGAAATCTATTTACTTTATTGCTTTTTTATAATATACAGTAAAATTAAAGTTCATCATAATCCATATTAAAATAATAATAAGCATAAAAAAATATGAGCAAGTACCACAAATCAGGCAAGTTTATAATGCAGGATATTTGTCAGTGCAACACATATAAAATGCCAGCATATTAGTTATGAAGCAATACATTGTTTACATTTTCAAAGATCATTTTGGGATCACTGTCCATCTTTGCTTCCATGTGACCTGATTCCAGAAAAAAACCTTTGAGGATTCCTTTCTAATTTTCTAGTAAAATTTTACTGAAAAGCTTGTAATTGCTAAAATGGGGTTCTATTTGCAACTGGGAGTTCCTGGCTAATCAGCATTTTAACGTTTCAACCAGAAAATAAATGGAGACATTAAAGAGACACTATAGCCATCAAAACTACTTAAAGGGACACTATAGTCGCCGGAACAATTGCAGCTTATTGCATTTGTTCTGGTGAGTATAATCATTACCTTGAGGCTTTTTGCAGCAAACACTATCTTTTCAGAGAAAATGCAGTGTTTACATTACAACCTAGGGATATTTCCACTGGCCATTCTTCAGATGGCTACTAGAGGTGCTTCTTGGGGTAGTGTTGCACAGTGTGCAGCACTGACATTCAGTGTCTCCACCCTCTGCATGGAGACACTGAACTTTCCTAATAGAGATGCATTGATTCAATGAGGAGACGCTGATTGGCCAGGGCTGTGTTTGGCTTGTGCTGGCCCCTGATCTTCCTCCTTGACAGTCTCATCCAATCCAATGCTTTCCTATGGAAAAAGCATTGTGATTGGCTCAGATCAACACTTCTGACGATGTCAGCCAAGCAGGCAGCTCAGGGGCAGAGCCAGCAGCAGCAAACTGGAATAACGGTAAAATTGTATTATATTTAGGGGCAAGGGGGGAGCAGGGGGACAGGTGGTGTTTTTAACACTATAGAGTCAGGAATACATGTATGTATTCCTGATCCTATAGTGTTCCTTTTATCTGACTGAAGCAGTTTAAAGTGTATAGACCATGTCAGTGCAGTCTTACTGCTCTATTCTCTGCTATTTGTGAGTTAAATCACTTTTGTTTATGCTGCCCTAGCCTCACCTCCCTGACTGTCACTCAAACAGTTTGCATAAAAAATGGTTTCAAAAATGGTTTCATCAGATATTAACTTCCTTTTGAAGTTTTTTATCTCCTGTT